GAGAGAGAGAGAGAGAGAGAGAGAGAGAGAGAGAGAGAGAGAGAGAGAGAGAGAGAGTAACTGCATAAGAGAGAGAGAGAGAAAAGGAGAGAGAGCAAGAAGTCATCTGTTCTGGACTTGGGCGATAGCGGCCATAGACAGCTTGTATACAATTTCAATTTTGTATAGTAATAAAAACTTCGGAGCGGGTCCCTTTGGGACATCCATTAAATTTTTGATTTTCTTTTTTTTTTTTGGCCTTTGTCGGTTGCTAATATATGTCCAGTCTATGGAGTGGTGGCAAGTTTGGTTAAAAAGGCCTTTGGGCTTTCTTATAAATAACATTAAAAAAGCGCTGAAATTTCGGGTCTCTTTAACCTTCTGTCCCCCCTCCACGACGGACAGAAGTCACAGAACCTCAAGATGGATGTGATCAGTCAGGCGAGTGAAATGGTGCAAGCATTGCCCGATTTACAGACACGTCCGATGCAGACGAAGGGGAACAGGAAGATGAAGGGGAGGAACAGCAGCAGGAGGGGAGGATTAAGGAGTGTCAGGAGAGGGATTGCAGTCGACTGCGGTGGGGAGGGAAGCAGGGCAGTAGATGGTAATTCGGAAGAGGAGGCACGAGCGAGACGGGAGGAAGCGGGGGGAGAGGTGGCAGAGAAGCGCAGGGAGGGAGGTTTGTGTCTGAGGCAAGGGGGGGGGGGGGGGGGGGGGGAGCTAGCAGTCTGATGACACAGCATGTGGGGTCTTCAAGCGCCCGTCCCTATGAATCTGTGTGATCCCAATTCCAGGCAACTGTCCCGGCGCCCCCCAGAAGAACAGGAAGAGCAGATGCAGGGATCCTACCAAAAGCCTGCCACCACTCCAACCTGCTTCAGAGTCCAGCTTACCGTTCGGAGAGAAAAAGAGGTGAAACAGGAGGTGGAATAATCAGGGAGGGCTGCAGCTCACCTTGCAGGGTACAGCCGTGTCTTTGACACAGGCAGTGGGAGGCAGCAAGGTTCAGGTGATCCTTCTCCAGAGCGTTTAAATGGCTATACAGCACTGACAGGTGTCGGTCTCTCCGACCAGACAAAAAAGGAGAAGTCATCAGCATGTGGGGCAGATGTCTCAGGCCAAAAGTCCAACTCATCTCAGCCCCTTCCATACGAGGATAAAGCCTCGCCCACGGAAAATCACAAAAACCGGCAGATACCAAAATAATAGGAGGCCCATCCCTAAGCAGTGGGAGGCATTGGATTAAGAAGGGATGGGCGGAAGTTAACCCCCCCCAAAAAAAATGCACAAGTCAAAAGCACAGTCTCACCCCGAAAGGGAAGCTGGCCTCATTAGCTGAAAAGCAGTACCTTGAACTATATATCCTGATAGAAGTGCGCCCTCAGTCTGCTCGGTCGATCTGGCCTCCATGAAAGGGAATTAAGTAGAAAATCACTCTCGCTTAGGAAGATACGCTATGGTTGGAAGACCTATCACAACTGCTGGCAACAAACCCAATAGCAACCGGATCTTGGTCCACCTCATTTGCAAAGCGAATAAAGAGACAGCGCAATTCTTGACCTACATAGCAAATAAGGAGGCACAACAGTAAAAAAAAAAAAAAAAAAAAAAAAAAAAAGGAGGGA